ATTAAATGAATACTCTTCATTGCACTCTGCTGTTCTTACTGCTGGGAAACCTACTCTCCTGGGAGTAACACGTGCGCTGAGTGGTTCAGTGCTTCTTTGTGTTCAATGTAATAACGTAAAACAAAGGGATGGATCATTTTTTGCTCTCCCATTGTATGGAGAGGTTCCATTCACTAGCATTCAGAGTAAAGGCAGCAAAAGGAAATCCTCCTTCCCAAAACATGTAGTTGATCTGTGCCATTCACTGAGCTCAGGGTGAAGTACTGTGACTGGATTCTAGAGGAACAGCTACAATTGTCTCTCTAAGCAGAGGAAAAGGTTCCCTAGCTTTCTATTCCAAAGCATTGCTGACTTGAAGGGATTTCCTTCGCCAGGTACCAGTGGTCTGCAGCAGGTTGGGTGCATGTCCTGGTTTTCTTGACCTTTCTCTGTACTCTCCGCTGTTCGCAGGCAAGACTTCAGATTTGGGAGCCCAGGGCTGTGATTTCATGTTCTGAACAGGCTTTTGCTTCCTTGCAGGGATGTTTTTGAGCGGGTCATTCACCTAAGCCTGGCACCAAAGAAGATGAAGTTTTTCTTTAAACGCTACCTGGATTATGAGAAGAAATATGGCACAGCGGACACTATCCAGGCTGTGAAAGCTGCAGCACTGGGATATGTGGAGTCCAAGAGCTCCCTTGCTGAGAGTTAAGTCCCAAAGCAGAGGGACTTGATTACTGCTTCCAGTGGCTGTGTGAGCAGAAGGGATGCACAGAAATGGACTGCAGGTGTCCACAAACAGGGCCTCTTGTGAGAGCACCAGCAGCCAGCTGGACTGTCCGGGACCCCCTGAAGGCAGAAAGAACCTGCTGGCTGAAGAGAGGCCCTTGTTTGTGTTCATCGCTTACCCAGGAGTACAACTGACTTCCCATGTGCCACTGACTTTTGGATGTAGTTATTTAAATGCAGATTGTTTTATAAGCAATAGAAACAGCTACCCCTGCCTGTTCTGCTTTCCTATGGAAAACGTACATTTATTGACTCTTCATTTTTCAATACAATTGATAAGTCAGCCTCCCTTTAGAATTTTTCTTTTCCCTCCATCCTTTTTTCAATGCTGCCAAGAAGGTTCTCATGTCTCATCTACATTAGTGTTGTCAGAGATTGGTCTCTGGTGCCTTTTTGTTGCTGCCAGTCTTCTTGATTTGAGGCTTTTTTTTAAAGCCTACAGGTATTTAATTGAACTTGCTGAAAGTGTAAAATTGCTAATGATCCTGCTG